TGGTCATTGATTTGAATGGAAGATCTGCCCCAGTTGGTCTGTGAGAAGCATTCTTGTGCTGACCCGCAGGAGTGGTCATTACTGGTGTGGGTCCCTTCAAACCTCACCTCACATGAAGCTGGCATATGACAAACAACAGTTCTGATTAGTGAGTGAGTTAGTTTAGTTTTACGCCGCACTCAGCAATAATCCAGCTATATGGCGGTGGTCTGTAAATAATTGAGTTTGGACCAGACAATCCAGTGATCAACAGCATGAACAGCATGAGCATCGATCTGCGCAATTAGGAACCGATGACATGTGTCAACCAAGTCAGCAAGCCTGACCACCCAATCCCGTTAGTCGCCTCTTATGACAAGCATGGGTTACTGAAGGCCAATATTCTAACCTGGACCTTCACGGGTCCCTTGTTCTGATTAAAGTCATTTACCCAATGTAGTTTTCATCTGCAAACTTACGTAAATGAATTTAGAAATATAACCTTGCTTTATATTCTGTATGTCTATTTCAGATTCCTGATTTTCTCTCTCAGTCAGCCTCAATGCTCAACTTCCGGCCGCCATCTTCCACGAGTTCCTCACAGCATACTTTTAACCTGTATAATGATGTGATATCATTAGACTGACAAACAAAGGTGACTGGAAGAGTTTAAGCAGATGAAGTGCAAATGATGAGTGACTGAAATCCATATGAACAGAAGGGATCTGCGTGCTGTGGGCACTGACACTTGGCTCAATAAGTTCAAGTATTTCCTGGGCCAAAACATTTTCAGGGATTCAAACACATGTAGTTTTGTATTATCCAGTAGATGACTTGACATCTTGGTAACTGCATGTGTCATAATGTACTGTCAGTTTCCACCACTTTCCATTGAAGTAGAAGGACTTGTCTGTGAGGAGAGTCCGTGAGATGCTCATCTAGTCACGAGGGAAGCTGTAGGATTATTTATTGTAGTTTCCAAGGGATAACACAAGAAGATGGACGACACAATCGTGGAAACAGTAGAGGCAGGATTCTCAGATGGTGCTGATCACAGTGACTATATCATACAAAGGCTATATTCTTGATATGCCTGTACTGTTATGTTGGTAGTGCACAATATTTTCGAATATATATGTACACTTGAAACAAAGACCATTTGCCTGTTGATCAGAATTAGGTTACATTGGCTTAACGGAGCATCAGTGAGGTGAATCTGTCATCTTTTATGTATGTAACATGTCCCAAGCAAACGAAATAGTCAAATCCTGTGCCAAAGTTGGAGTACTGGTCACAGAGGACAGCTTGTCTACATGTGTTTCATGCATCTACTAGTGAGCAGCGAGAAACACCTGTGTTGTATCGTTCATGCAGTGTAATCTCACTGTGTATCCTCTCTCCTTGATGTGCGACATAATCTGGGAACTATACAGGGTCAACTCACTACAAACTTTGTCAGTTTATGTATAATTCTGTAAATAGTTTATGTTTATTTTTTGGATGACAGAGTCTTTGTATATTTCTATGCTTGTTATTTCTACACCTAAATACAAATACATCTGATATGACGTGACCACGTGTTGGGTGACTTGCCATGTGTCCACTTTCTTGACACAGCCAGTGACTTGACCATGTGACATGTCACTAATATGTACATTATCTCATTAATACACTACATTCTTGACTCAGCAGTAGCCAATACATGGTGGCTGTCATCCTGTATTGTTATACAATGCCACCTAGGTAGCTGTCGTAAAAGTAGAAATTGTTGAACATTTCCTTACTTTATAAGGCTATTTTCATCCACTTTTAGGTCTGTTGGAGACTGTCTTGCCTTATATGTCAATACTCACAAGAACCAACTGTTTTAACAGTTTTATGAAGAATATACATAGGATACAGAAGGAACAACTCCAGTCAACAGAATCCTCACATACTTATACTTATGCAAGCCATTACAGTAATATATGAACTAACCATAACAGTAATATCTGAAATAATATCTGTCAACCATCTTGACAAAATATATTCAAATTTGGATTGGGATACTCCAGTTTGTTTAGGTGAACCAGCTGCTTTGAGATATTGTCGTCTTGTCCGTGTTCATCTTGGTATCATAGAACCGTCACATTTGGAGAATTATTTCAAATAAATAACCCATAACCCACTGGAAGCTAAGTTTAAATAACCACTTTGCATCCTCATTTTAGTTTAAATTAACATGCTGTTTCAATTTAAAAAAACACATTCGTAGGCTCAAGAAGAATGAACCTGTGTTTCCAGTAGAGGTCTAATGATGTGATGAGACTGTATCCTGATAATAAGAGTGTGATACGATTTGTTTTTCTAAAAGGAGATAACGTTAATTATATCTGAATCCCTGGCTTAGGACCAGTAACCAAACAGATGTTTTCACATTAGGTAGAACTGTGAGGTAATATGGAATCAGATTACTCGTTATTACAGGGATGTGTCCAGTGTTTGCAATACTTTAATTTGCCAGTTAGCTATCAGGGCCTGCTGCTGCCTGCAGGCTTTAAAATCTTCTGGCCCTGAATGAAATCTACCGGTCCATTTTGTTAAAGTCAAACCAGTAAAAACAAAATAGACTACACAGTACACACTTTCTGCAAAATCAACTAGCGAAGCCTATGTCGCAGGGAGAAGTTTTTATTTGTTAAAGACTGGTGTTGACATTCCTATGTGCAAAGTGCTGAAATACCAGGAAGTGAAACTGTAAGTATCGTAACATGGTGGATCATGGATGATTCCCAAATGTTAATAAAGAAAAAAATTATGGGAAAGATTCCAATTGAAAAAAAAATGACAAATAATTTACTGAAGGCCGCAAGGGCCTGCACATATTTGAAACCGATACAATAACAGCCAATGCTGGGCCTCCAGGCTGGCGATTATTTCGAACACTGGATGTGTCTCCTTCCTCTGCTGCAGACAAGCATATCATACTGCATAATTACATGACATTTTCTAGTAGGTCCAGATCAAGTATTTCTAGACAATATTTTTTTTTCCCCCCAACGCAGCGTTTTGCGGGGGGTATTAAAATGGACTCCGTGCGTGCATGTGTCCGTCTGCCCGTCCGTGCACATTTGTCTTTTCTGGAGCAGAACTCTAAAACCATTCAATATTTCTTCACCAAACTTGGCACATGGATAGATCTGGTGGTGTACTGGTGCCTTTTGGTAGTTTTGGAATTCTGAATAAAATAGTTTTGGCGTTTCCATAGCAACAAGTTTGACTTAAACTGAAATTGGTGATAGTGCTCTTTTTCGGAGCAGAACTCTAAAACCGTTCACTATTTCTTCACCAAACTTGGCACATAGATTGGTCTGGTGGTGTACTGGTGCCTTTTGGTAGTTTTGGAATTCTGAATAAAATAGTTTTGGCATTTCCATGGCAACAAGTTTGACTTAGACTGAAATTGGTGATAGTGCTCCATTCTGGAGCAGAACTTTAAAAAACTTTCAATACCTTCCATTTTTCTATATACACACCTAAATGTTTGACATAATCATAACTCGTAGACATAATCATGAAGAGTATTTTGCCATTGAGGGGGATATTGATGACTTTGTCTTCTTGTTAGTGAGGGTTGTATAATCTGTAATTCTGTTTACATAATTCTTGGTGATAATTGTCAAAATTACCTTAATTATTGATATGAAAATATATTCATGTTCAATCGGGGTATGAAACTCCCAAAAATGTCAGCCAGACCACAGGGCTGGTTAGATGTAAAACTTGTCATTCCTGACCAAAACTTACCTGCCCGCAAATAATTTAGGTTTGACAAGTGACAAGTTTATCATCCAATTGGAATTCATCATTATTTTTACGAGTGAATTAATAATGACTTATTATCCAGAAATATGATGAATATCTTCATATACATGTCTAAATTTTAACCTTTCTGTCGGGCAGGTGAATTTGAGAATCTGGCAGTCTGTGTTAAAAATAACCCGTCCAGGACAGTCGGGCAGGCAGGTATTTCGAATGCTGGTTCAATGCAGTAACAGGATCAGATATGATGATTTCAAAAAAAATAATAAAAAATAACTTTAGGGAATTGGGAGTGTCTTAATCAGAAACACAGGAAATGGTGCTCTCAAGAATACCCTGTTTGAAGGTATACTGTACATGGAAATACATCACACATCGTTTGTTGTTTTCATGAATGAAACGGGTCTTTGTTTAAGATTTGTATATCACCATGTATTTATTGTTTTTGTGTGTCTAAGCTTTGTATTGTAAGCATTCCAGCTGGGCAAATATGCTAATAAGCTAATGCTCATGAAGCCTGTCTGGGGATGTGAGTCACCTACCTTAATATGGCTTGTCCAGCAGTTGTTCAGATGTGAGTCAGCTACTTTAATATGGCTTGTCCAGCAGTTGTTCAGATGTGAGTCAGCTACCTTGCCTTGGCTTGTCCAGCAGTTGTTCAGATTTGAGTCAGCTACCTTGACTTGGCTTGTCCAGCAGTTGTTCAGATGTGAGTCAGCTACCTTTAATATGGCTTGTCCAGCAGTTGTTCAGATGTGAGTCAGCTACCTTAATATGGCTTGTCCAGCAGTTGTTCAGATGTGAGTCAGTCACCTTGGCTTGTCCAGCAGTTGTTCATATGTGAGTCAGCTTGTCCAGCAGTTGTTCAGATGTGAGTCAGCTACCTTAATATGGCTTGTCCAGCAGTTGTTCAGATGTGAGTCAGCTACTTTAATATGGCTTGTCCAGCAGTTGTTCAGATGTGAGTCAGCTACCTTGCCTTGGCTTGTCCAGCAGTTGTTCAGATGTGAGTCAGCTACCTTGCCTTGGCTTGTCCAGCAGTTGTTCAGATGTGAGTCAGCTACCTTGCCTTGGCTTGTCCAGCAGTTGTTCAGATGTGAGTCAGCTACCTTGCCTTGGCTTGTCCAGCAGTTGTTCAGATGTGAGTCAGCTACCTTGCCTTGGCTTGTCCAGCAGTTGTTCATATGTGAGTCAGAGTCAGCTGGCTTGTCCAGCAGTTGTTCATATGTGAGTCAGCTACCTTGCCTTGGCTTGTCCAGCAGTTGTTCATATATGAGTTAGTCAATCAGGCCTTGGCTTGTCCAGCAGTTGTTCAGATGTGAGTCAGCTACCTTGCCTTGGCTTGTCCAGCAGTTGTTCATATGTGAGTGAGTCAGCTACATTGCCTTAGCTTGTCCAGCAGTTGTTCATATATGAGTTACGAATCAGGCCTTGGCTTGTCCAGCAGTTGTTCATAAGTGAGTCAGCTACCTTGCCTTAGCTTGTCCAGCAGTTGTTCATATATGAGTTACGAATCAGGCCTTGGCTTGTCCAGCAGTTGTTCAGATGAGTGAGTCAGCTACCTTGCCTTGGCTTGTCCAGCAGTTGTTCATATATGAGTTACGAATCAGGCCTTGGCTTGTCCAGCAGTTGTTCAGATGTGAGTGAGTCAGCTACCTTGCCTTGGCTTGTCCAGCAGTTGTTCATATGTGAGTCAGCTACCTTGCCTTGGCTTGTCCAGCAGTTGTTCATATATGAGTTACGAATCAGGCCTTGGCTTGTCCAGCAGTTGTTCATTGTGAGTCAGCTACCTTGCCTTGGCTTGTCCAGCAGTTGTTCATATGTGAGAGTAGCTACCTTGCCTTGGCTTGTCCAGCAGTTGTTCATATGTGAGTCAGCTACCTTGCCTTGGCTTGTCCAGCAGTTGTTCATATGTGAGTCAGCTACCTTGCCTTGGCTTGTCCAGCAGTTGTTCATATATGAGTTACGAATCAGGCCTTGGCTTGTCCAGCAGTTGTTCAGATGTGAGTGAGTCAGCTACCTTGCCTTGGCTTGTCCAGCAGTTGTTCATATGTGAGTCAGCTACCTTGCCTTGGCTTGTCCAGCAGTTGTTCATATGGCTTGTGAGTTGTTCAGATGTGAGTGAATCAGGCCTTGGCTTGTCCAGCAGTTGTTCAGATGTGAGTGAGTCAGCTACCTTGCCTTGGCTTGTCTAGCAGTTGTTCAAATGTGAGTCAGCTACCTTGCCTTGGCTTGTCCAGCAGTTGTTCATATGTGAGTCAGCTACCTTGCCTTGGCTTGTCCAGCAGTTGTTCATATGTGAGTCAGCTACTTTGCCTTTGCTTGACCAGCAGTTGTTCATATGCTTGACCAGCAGTTGTTCATATGTGAGTCTGGGTTGTTGTTTTCTGACATGCTGAAACCCTGCTTACATGCAGAGTACATGGTCATGTCTGAACCAGTAACAGACAATATGTGTCGTGGAGAGCTATCTATGAACAGTGAATGGTGCTATGTGGCTTCCATTATTTCTCATTCAGGTTGGTAAATCAGTGGAAAAGAGGATATCGACTGTTCAGATCATCAATGTACCTGAAGCAGAAACTTCTTGGACAAATTACCTTGTTTTTACTTTGCCAATCTGAACAGCAATTCAGGATCAGGGCCCTGTTCCTGAAAGCGACCGTAACGCTAAGGTGATCGTTACTCCCATACTTTAATATAGACTTATGACTGTCGTAGCGCTACGATCGCTTTGAGGAACGGGACCCTGGACTGGTGGACACACCTGAACATCTGAAATCTAGTCATACCAAGGCATTATCATACATAGTACTTTCATCAAGGAAAACATGTTGTCACCCATTCTTATGAAAAAAAGTAAAAACAGTAGTTGTTTGCCAACAGCTGACTATATTGGCTGTTGTCAAAGATACTTTGAGTATAGGAATGAGTATGGGGTTTCATAAACAGATGCAGAGGTAAATAAGGGTTTGAATTCTTGAATACATCTGTTTGTGTGTTTGTTCTCTGGAAATGTACTTTTCTTATTTTGTCTCTCCTGTGTGAAATGTCATAAAGTGGCATTCAGACAGACAGAGACAGAGTGAGTTTATTTCCAGTAAAAGGCCGTAGGCCCAAAATACATTCAAAAGGAAATCACATTGTAGTCAGGGGCACAATGATCATTCAAGTGTGTTTGTAGCAATCCTTTTAACATAAAATAGATACATGTTAGTGTTCTTGCAAAGATTTGCTAAAGAATATACAGTATAAGGCTTTTTAACACATTTTGTAATAAATCTCTCTCTTAGTTGTGAATAGGATTCACAAATGAACAGTACATGAAATTCATCTTCAATATAGGTAAGACCTTTAGATTTACATTATGTACGAAATGTTTGTTCAGTGTTGTTATAACGCCCAGTTTCTACAGCTATTTTAAACTTACTACGCCTAAATTGTGCTAAAACAGCTCTTAAATGTGTAGAAAGGTTAAACGATAAATAACGTTCAACATTTAACGCAGATTTAAAATACTGATAATAGTTGCATTTGGGGGAATTACTCAGGGAAGAGTACCAGGACTGTTTTTAATTATCTGATAATCTTTGTTTAAATAAGCTTATAAACATCTTTACATCACCAACATCTTGGCTCAACCAAACATATCCAAAACCAAAATTAAAAAGAAGACTTAACTTTTGACGCCCATGTTGTTCTACCACTATCATCTAATGACTTAAGCTTTAGGTAGCTTTGAAAAGGTAATCTGTCATGAGGAAGTTGTAACAATCTACACCAATATTTGATTACACGGGTCATATAATTAGCAATCTGCCACATTCACCCAGGGCCATGGAATTACAAGATGACATATTTATTTTAAGATACTTTTTACAAAAATCAAGCTGTACCGATTCAATACTTTTACAATAAGAAGTTCCCCATATTTCTGAGCCATAGCATAATATTGGTGTGATCAATGCATCAAAAATTTTGAATAAATCTGTACAGTTAATGTTTCCGAATTTCTTTTGAAAGTGATTAACTGATAAAATTGCCTTTCTAGCCTGAGATGCTAAACACAATTGTGCCCTGGACCAAACAAGTTTTGGTGTAAATATAATGCCAATATATTTATAAAAAGATAGTGTTTCTATTTGTTCCCCATTAAAATACCACTTTTCATATGATCTAAGAGGCTCTCCATTTCTGAAAACAACCACTTTTGTTTTCTTAGGTTTACTTTCATTCCTGTTTCCTTGCAAAATAATTCAAGGGCATTTATCTTTTTCTGCAATTGAATACAAGTGTCTGAAAGAGCCGAAACATCATCAGCAAACATAAGGGCATACACATTATTGAAAACAGCAGTGATAAATATTCCCTTACCACCTTCTAAAGTGGTATTGAGGAGCCCTAGTAACAGTGAAGCTGGGTGGATGTGTGGACTCCAACTGTCTTGTACATATGCACTGAATGTCACACTGAAAGAAGGAAGTAGTTGGAATCTGTGTCAACCCTGTCTCTATTAGTCTGTGTAAAGACAGCATGCTTGTGTTTGTAATACCCACAGTTACAACTGATCGGATATGAAAACTGTATGACAGGTGGAAGCACTGCAACAGTGAAAGGATATGATTAACCGATATGTAATATTTCCACCTAGTCTTCAGGACACATCCTTCAAACATTTAAATTGATAACAAAATGTCAATATTTCATTTCATCATTGACCCTCCCATTCTGTGATATGTTAAGTTTTATGGTTGATATTGCAGACTAGCTGCTTGTTACGTCACTCTGCGTACCGTGGCACTGGCATACCCGAGTAAGACACCCTGAGATGGAAAGTCTGTATAAATATTTTTTTTCTTTGAAATGTGCATCTGCAAACATTTGTGGATGAAAGTGTTTTATTGATAGTCAAATCTGACATGATACGGGTTGATATTTATGTATATTGTTACTAAGTGTATATAAATGTCATTTGTTGCAAGGTTTTATTGAATTGATTGTAAATGTAAATTAATCGAATATCAGTTCTTATGCCATACCATTTCCCTGTTTTGTGGCTATATCAGGTCTGGCAGCAACTTCCTTTTTTGAAAAAGACATTCTTGATCCTATTGTGTGATTTTTTTTTTCATTCATTTTATTTCTGTCTTTTTGTGTATCTTTTCTGTACAAATTTCACTGTAAATATCTACATGTTTTGTAATAAGAAACTATATAATGATTATAGATAGCTTTGAATCAAAGAATCCTTATCAAACTACTCTTGCCAAATATGATATTGTGTTATTTTGCAAGAAACTTGGTTCACAATAAACGGTGTGGCAGTAACTAAGATATCCAGGGTCTAAATGTTATGCATGTTAATTCATCCAAACAATCAGGACAGAACTATGACAGGTTGTTCCAGCTCTGATGTATAACATGTTTTATAATGTGATCAATGATAGATGCTTAGTGTGGAGGACAACTGACATATAGGTTGTGGAATGCATCATTGTTAGAAGCAGGTAAGACAGCTGATTCGGAAGTAAATCCATGAGAGACCGACCCGAGATGGGTTCCACTCCTTGATGCTCACCTCACTCATTTCCTGGCATTCACTTGAAAATGTTCAAACTGACAACTATTCATGCAAATAAATAATTATATAAAAGTATTTGTGTTTGTCGTGATTCTGTAGGATCAATTTACTGAACATTAGATGTGGGGATATGCTTTTGAAAACGCATACTTTTCATTCATTTTTCTTATCAACCTTTATAACTTTGGCTTATGATGTGACAGGATGGACCTACTGTACTCTTCTTATTGAAGAAACAAACACCACTTGAGCTTTTTCCTGGACCCGTGAAGGTCCGGGTTAGAATATTAATCTTCAGTAACCCATACTTGTTGTAAGAGGCAGCTAACGTGATCAGGTGGTCAGGCTCGCTGACTTGGTTGACACATGTCATCGGTTCCCAATTGTGCAGATCGATGCTTATGTTGATGACTGGATTGTCTGGTCTAGACTCGATTATTTACAGACCGCCGCCATATAGCTGAAATATTGCTGAGTGAGGCGTAAAACTAACCTCACTCACTCATTCACTCCTGGAATACTGCTCATGGCAATATTAAACCTGACAGACTCACTTGTGGCAACAGCATTCATATAAAGGTGTTTTTTTCTATACCTTTAATGCTTAATGCACACGATTTTGGAGCATGATCAAATGCACACACCCACACAGTAATTTATTCTTAAGGATATTGCTGACATTTCACAAAGCCTGTGGGAAATGAAATTTTCTCTCTCAGTCCTTTCACTTTTTGATCCATGGACATTTGCTTCACAAGATGAGGCCTGGAGCAGTGTTCCTCTCAGATCTACAGGGACCTGAACATTCCATCTACAGTTGGCCAATAATGCCTTGGTGAGCGATTAAGTTGGTGCAAGTGAGTTCAGTTTAACATTGCAGTGTCTTGCTAAGACTTGCAATGGTAACATAAGTATCACAAAACAGCCAGGGCAATGTTCTGCTTTCTGCATACCTATGTTTGCCTTTTTGAGACATTAAATATTTAAAGCATAATATTCAACAAGCTTTCAGATCAGCTACAAAACCTTTTACAATAGTTTCTTATCAGTGTCACCAGGAAGAGGAAGTGTGGGTTTTTTTGTGAAAAAACTACATGTATTTCTGACACACTTGTACATTATGCTGGTGTTTGTTGTTCGAAGTAGTCGGTGGATTGACATGCTGGCCCATTATGTAGATATTGTGTGCAAAAAGC